CAGCGGGCCGGCAAAGCCTCGCTGCTGCTGGGGGGGGGGTGGAGGGAGAAAGTTCGGCGGGCCAGCAAGGCCTCGCCGCTGCTGCCGCCGCTAGGGAAGGGGGGAAGCTTGGAGGGGCATGGGCCTCGCCGTGGGTGCCGGGGATGGGAAACAGCGGAGAAGGCTCACCTATGGCTGCTTCCTTCTCCCGTGGAGCTTCTTCCCCCCTCCCCCTGTGAGTATCGCGGGTCCCCCTTCTTGTGTTTATCTAATCCCCTCTTGAAGCCGTCCGTGCTTGTAGCCGCCACCACCTCCTGTGGCAGTGAATTCCACGTGTCAATCACTCTTTGGGTGAAGAAGGACTTCCTTTCTTCCTTGCTGATTTCCAAACTTGCTGACTTCCAAACGGAAAGGTTGCCCCAATGGCATACAAACCAATAGGTTCTAGATCAAATCACGCCTGAACTCTCTCTAGAAGCGAAAAATGACGGAACTGAGGCTATCGTACGCTGGTCACACTATGAGAAGGCAAAGAGTCCCTGGAAAAGACAGTCAAGGTAGGAAAAGCGGAAGATGGCAGAAAAAGAGAAGACCCAACCTGAGACGGATGGACTCCATCAAGGAAGCCCTGGGCTTGCAAGACCTGAGCGGGGTTGCTGTAAGTCAAAAGTGACCCGATGGCCCTTCACGCTCACACGCACAATGGCATCGTTCCGAGCCGGCTGTATAAAACTCCAAGCATCAGCATGCAACTCCGATTTTGACACTACCATCAGGGAAGCAACAATTCAATTTTTACAGCAACCCTCTTGCTTATCAGTTGTAGATTTTCATGGCTGTGTGGCCGTAGTCTTGGCATTGGCCTTTGGTTAAAGACAGTGTTCCCTCTAAGCTGAATTAGTGTGAGCTACCTCACGGTTTTTTAGCCTCCGGCTCACAATTTTTGTCTTAGCTCAGGAAGGATGGCTACAGAGCAAACTAAGTTATGCAGCGGCCAAATCACCTGCTCACAACTTTAATGCCAGTAGGTCAGAAAGCAGAGTTTTTGCTTACAAGGAAAAGAAGGAGAGATTGGATTTACACCCCGCGCTTCACTACCCAAAGGTGTCTCAGAGTGGCTTACAAACTCCTTTTCCTTCCCCTCCCCACAACAAACACCCTGTGAGGTAGGTGGGGCTGAGAGAGCTCTCTCGAGGACTGCATGTGAGAGAACAGCTCTGACAGAACTATGGCTTGCCCAAGGTCATCTAGCAGGTGCAAGTGGAGGAGTGGGGAATCAAACCCAGTTCTCCCAGATTAGAGTCCGCACACTTAACCACTACACCAAACTGGCTACAAGACTCCACAGCTTAGAGGGAGCATTGGTTAAGGACCCGCCCACCATTAACAGCACAACCACCAACATTATCGCTAAAGATCGTTAACGATACTTGAGAAAGACAGCGCCCGTGCCCTGATTCCATCGTTACGGCCTGTGCCTGCTGCATATACATGATAAAGAACAAGAAACTGATGAGCCAGGCAGACCGGAGACCAGAGATTATTCTAACATAACTGTTGCCGCCGTCTCTAAGTATTAATTACAACTAGCTAGCACTTTATGATATCAGATTGTTTATATGGTTTTATAATGTTTTACCTATGTTATCATTGTTGTTTATGTTTTATCCTTTGTAAGCTGCCCTGAGCCTGCTTTGGCGGGGAGGGCCGGGTATCAATCGAATAAATAAATAAATAAAATTGTGGTACCTGATGCAGAGAGTACTCCATCTTTCTGTGTTATACCGTTTGGTGTCGTGGTTAAGTGCGAGGACTCTAATCTGGGAGAACCGGGTTTGATTCCCAACTCCCCCACTTGCACCTGGCTGGATGACCTTGGGCAAGCTGTAGTTCTGATAAGAGTTGTCCTTGAAAAAGCAGTTTCTGTCAGAGCTCTCTCCACCCCACCCACCTCACAGGGTGTCTGTTGTGGGGAGGGGAAGGCAAAGGAGTTTGTAAGCTGCTCTGAGACACCTTTGGGTAGTGAAGGGCAGGGTATAAATCCAATCTCTTCTTCTTCCTCCTCCTCCTCTACATGCAGCTGCTGGTGTGACCTTGGGCAAGCTGTAGTTCTGAATAATCAATTTATTAATTTTCCAAACTTGATAAGAGCTGTTCTTGAAAAAGAACAGTTTCTGTCAGAGCTCTCTCAGCCCTGCCTGCCTCACAGGGTGCCTGTTGTGGGGAGGGGAAGGGAAAGGAGATTGTAAGCCGCTTGGAGACTCCTTTGGGTAGTGAAGGGCTGGGTATAAATCCAATCTCTTCTTCTCCCTCTGAGGATGCCAGTTACAGATGCTGGCAAAACTTCAGGGACAACAATGCCAAGACTACGGCCACACAGCCCGGGAAATCTACAACACTTAGTGGGCTCCAGCCGCGAAAGCCTTCGACAACGTATTAACCCTCTTCTTTCTGTATGTCCTCTTTCCCTTCTGTTTTCTCAGGGCTCAAAGCAGAGATACATCTGGATTGTATTCACAGGGGAGATCCCCTCTCAAATCACCGCCCGTGGCTTAAGGACTAACTGCTCAGTGCAAAGAAGCTATGCCGACCAGACAAGCACCGACAGTGTGCCGGATCTTACGACACCCTCTCCTGATATTCATATGCTGTGGGTGGTGAGTGAAGGCGGGAGCAAGGAAAGGCTGACAAGTAAGACCCAGGAGGAGAGCAGAGGCGAGTCGGATGGCGGCGAAGGAGCACACCAAGGGAGTGAGAGCCCCAGATTCAGGCCCACTGTGGCCTAGGACGGGTGTCCCCGAGATGCCTGTGGGCACCAGGGCACCCCCACCAACACTTTTCTTGGTATACACCAAGCTGGCCCATTGCTATGGTCAATGCTCCCTCTAAGCTGTGGAGTCTCATGAGCAAAAATTCTACTTGGTGAGCCACTGGCATTCAAGTTGTGAGAGAGCGATTTGGCGACGGCAGGAATTAGTTTGCTCTGGAGCCATCCCTTCCTGAGTGGAGACAAAAATGTGTGAGCCGGAGGCTGAAAAACCACGAGCGAGCTCACACTAACTCAGCTGAGAGGGAACACTGGCTACTGTGGGGCTATCGGGGGCTCCGCACCCTTCCTTAAAGGGCCAGCCCCCTTCCTTAAAGGCCCCCTGTTTCTTAAAGGCCCCCTTCTTCCCAAAAGCATTTCATAGAATCATTAGACTTGGAAGGGACCTCCAGGGTCATTTAGTCCAACTCCCTGCACAATGTGGGATATTCACAAATACCTGCCCCCCACCCCCACCCCCACTGACTGCTGTTCCATGCTCAGAAGAGGACAAAAAGCCCTCCAGGATCCCTGGCCAAACTGGCCGGGAGAACAATGACCCCAATGTGGCGATGGGCATTTCCCTGGGCATGTAAGAAAGGGCCACGAGAACTAAGCACTGAGGCAACCCTTCCTGCCCTACCTTCTCGTGATCTGCCTAAGTTCACAGAATCCGCATTGCTGTCAGACGGCCGTCTCGCCTCTGCTTGAAAACCTCCAAAGGGATCCTTTAAATGCTTTTGAGAAGAAGAAGGGGGGTGGCACGTGCCCCTCTCCCCCCGGGAAGAGTTAAAGGGACCTTCGGCAGGTCGGCAGGGAGCACGTGGCCCGCTGGAGGGATCTTCCAGGAGGGGTGTGTGTGCTCACCACCCCCCTTCATTATGACATATAATGGCAGCCCCAACAGAAAAAAATTTGCCCCACGAGCCACAAAATCCTGGCTATGGGCCCGGCACCGAGTGTTTTTAGAAAGTGGGAGGAGTCAAGTGGGGCTCCTGCCCAGCAGGGCGTCTGATTGGCCACTGCCAATCTGATTGGCTGTCATGTATGACTTAACATCACATAAGGCTCTAAATATTTCTCAAAGACATAACAGTATTCAATACATGAAATACGAGAAGTACGATAGGCTGGAGATTTAAAGCAATATCTAACATTTACTATTTGACACTCCCGAAAGAAAGACTTCACAGATTCCAATTTCAATGGACTGAAAAACATGATCTTCAAATGTACATGAAGCAAGTACATCCACTTCTTAAGACTTAAGATCAACAATATAAAGTACGTTGCAATCAGCAAGTACCCCGTTTCCCCAAAAATAAGACCTACCCAAAAAATAAGCCCTAGCAGGATTTCTATGCATTTGTGGTATAAGCCCTAGTGTGTCTTCTTGAGAAAAAATAAATATAAGACAGTGTCTTATTTTCGGGGAAACACGGTAGATCCAGTCCTTAGGACTTGAGACAAACAATAAGAAATAGGCTGCAGTCAACTCATCCTCCAGATAATTCAATGAGTTTTCGAGGCCTTCGTCAGGACTGCAACGGGGACTCCCAAAGACACTTCTCAGCAATAATGCCTCCAAACGGTCTTATTGTACAGCAATGTCTCAAGACTGCCTTATTTGACTTTATTCATGATGGAAACGTATAGCCTAACTCTGTAGGTGCGTCTTCCATCTAAATGAATGTATGTAAAGACGGCTCTTTACATACATTTAGATGGAAGAACATCTAAAGAGTTAGAGTGGAAAAGAGGACGCCACCGGAAGCGAGGGCTCGGAGGCTGAGGCTGATCCAGAGACAGGGCCTGAAGGACAATAGTCAGCTCAGTGGATAGACAACGGCCGGGCGCAGGTTGTCCACCCTTCTTACCTGCAAGCAACGACGTGAGGTAACTGTCGGGCTCGACGTGCGTCCGATCTGCATCCGTCTGGAAGCCTGAAGAGGAGGAGAAAAGGGCATTTGTTTGACTGAATTCCAGGCTCTGGACGGAGATTCGAGGCGAGACTCTAGAGGAGGGATTCCCACCCTTTTTGAGCCTGTGGGTGCCTTTGTATTTCTGACACAGCCACAAAATGGCTGCCGCGGGAGGTGGAGACTGCCGTATAGTGGCCGCTACAGCTTACCTTCAGGCACAGAGGGAAAATCTTCTCCTGTGATGGCAGCTGCTGCCAAAGCAGTGTTTTTAAGAATCTGTGGCCGATCAGAAGCCTGGCTGGGCCAAAGCCCCATAGGGTCCTGCTCGCTTTCTAAAAACACTTGGCGGGTGCCAGGAAAGGTACCCACAGGCGCAACATTGGGGACCCCTGCTCTAGAGAGTGCTCCTCTATAATACATTAACATTGAGTAGTTAAATTTACCGACCATTACGATTATTTCCATTCCTGCACTGTCTAGTCGTGACACTCCCGAACTCACACAGAACACAGTGTCGTATTCTTGAGTAGTTCCAGGTGGTTGGCCATGTTGGTCTGAAGCAGTAGAACAAATTTAGAGTCCAAGTGGCATCTTTAAGACCAACAAAGGTTTATTCAAGGGATGAGCTTTCGTGTGCAAGGCACACTTTTTCAAATATTAGTATATGAAAAAAGCTCATCCCTGGAATAAACCTTTGTTGGTCTTAAAGATGCCACTTGGACTCTAAATTTGTTCTACGTATTCTCTAATGTTTACCCTATAATATATTATCTGTTTCATTCTGGTTACTTATCTACTGTTTTTCCCACACCTTGCTTCTTATCTATCTCAATACTTTCACTGATACTATGTTTATACTACTTATAGCCAACGATATTGTTCTACTGTTTTGTTTTGGGTTTTTTTAAAAATAAATTTTGTATTGCTTTTACATACTACACAGTTACAGGAAAAGGGAATGAGAAATAACTATAACTAAAAAAAAAAAACCCTACGGATTAAGGCAAGGATCATATTCTAAAGTTACATCTACATATATCGTTCTTACAATACTCTATATTAAAGTATAAATACTGTGTTTAATGCCTTATTTACTTAATAAAGCTAGCTTGAGCCATTGACGCTAATCTTTAGGTGATAGTCCATTATATTTTGTTGATCTTCCTCTTTATTTTTCACGTTTATTTTTCTTGTATTTCAGTTTAACGTTGAGAAGTTTGTCTTGCTGTTTTTGCTGTAACGCTGATATTTGCCATTTAGGATTACCTTAAACGTAATAAAAAGTTAATAACTAAAAAGGCTGGGGACGCCTGATTTAAAATGGTTATTCAGTTCAGCGGCTCCAAACGATTCTGTATTGGAGTGGCGACCGGTGCCAAGGGACTTGCAGAGTTCTTTCCCAGCCTCCCCACCTGCCATGTACCCCAATTTATCTCTCCTTTATTTATTTATTTATTTTTACATTTATATCCTGACCTCCCCGCCATTCGGCAAGCTCAGGGCGGCTAACAACATATATAAAAATACATTAAAGTCCCATTAAAACTGTCAATCAGTATAC